AACACCAGTGTATCATTATATAATTGCTAGTGGAAACTATGATTTTTTACTTATTTTCATCTTTTTTTAATCTCTCAAGGTTTGTTAAACTAAATTTCAACAAGCCCAGAATGAGGGAAACATGAGTCATTAGATAATTGAAGATGCTTTCTGTTTGAGGCAATAAACATTTCCCTGGGCTAATATTTCCAGAAGCCCAAGGCTGAGGTATTTATTAGCCCAAGATGTGGTTATTACTGAGTTGACAGGAAGTTCCCTAAAGTTATTATAATTAAACTTTTAACGATTAAATATTTGGGAGAAAGTAATTGCTTTTAAGACATTTCATTTTTTAATGAGAATTAAAACTGAGGGGTTTGGATTACAAGTAACAGGAGTTAGGATCTACACGAGAACAGAAGCACTTACAGCCAGTCTATGCCTACAGACATTAAACTCTGAGGCTGCTGGTACAAGCTATCAAGAATAAAAGACACAGTGACCCAGTGGTTAGGCCCTGGCAGAAGACTCAGGAGACCTCAGTTCTAGTCCCAATTTTTTCCATCATCATGCTCTTAAGAAAATCATTTCACCTTTTTATGCTTCTTGCATCATTTTGGAGTATTTCTACACGGAAAGTATGATTTTAGCAGTGGTTGGTTAGCTAGCATAGGTAACAATAATCCTGTAGACATGACAGGACAGGTTAGCAACCATAGTACAAGCCTACAGGGGACCCTATGTACATACTCTAGTTCCTAGCCCATGTCACCACATCAACACAACTGCTACTGGTGCTAGCTAAATTAAAGCTAGCAGTGGTATTCCTACTCATGTTACCATCACACCATCCCATGCAATGAAGCCCAGACCTTAGACCGTAAGCTATACAGAGCCAAGATAGTCTCTTTCAATGTGTATGTACATCATCTACCTCAATTGTCAATGGCACACCCCATAAAACCATAGAATCCTAGGGCTGGAAGAAATCCCAGAAGGAACCAATCCCAACTAAATCATCACTAAAATTATTAATGAGTAGCAACTGACTGGATTTCACCATGGCCCCAAGGGCCTTCATGGTACTGATGAAGTTGCTGTTGGGTGGCCAAGCAATCACATCTTAATTCTGACAAACCCAACACACTAGATAAACTCAAGTCTTCAAAGTTTCAGGAGTTCATTCACTGAATTCTATTCAGTTTGCTGCATGGAGGTTTCCTGAATTACATTTACTAAACTGGGTGGTTTATTGATGTATATTGACGCAAAGCCACATGTTAGACACCCATTTAGATGTATCAAAATCCCACTTGGAGATTAGCCACGTACAGTATTCATTGGCCTGGATGACTAGCTAGATCTATTAGGCAATGCAGAGGTGAAGGGTGGGAGGTCCTAGGCCTAGGCCATATATTTGTGCTGAATTGCACTAAAACATTACTAAAGAAAGCAGACAGGAGGACTGCAACTGTGACCAGCTTCTATACAGGGCACACAAGGGGATCCAGGCTCCTTTCACCTTTTCCCCTTTATATAGCCAAGCATGAGGCAGGCAGCATGGGACAATGAGACACCAGAGAACCCCCATTATCCTGCTCCTAAGGGATGAAATGCACTTCACAAACTGGCTCAAGGGAATTTAAAGGCAATGGAAAAAACAGGTGAGAGACACTCACCTTTTCACATCTGCAGCTTGTTCCATCCTGGGGTAGGTTGTTTCATCCCCTGACAGAATTTGTGAATCGCTAAGTACCATCATTCCATCATTTTTCTTGTACACTGTCACTTGTCATGAGTGACAGCTGCACTAGGAGCTTTCACTCCCATGACTACGGTGAAAAAATGTACAGGGCCAAGTCCTTAGGTGGCATAAATGGGTGTACTGCCATTGACTCCTTGTGAGGGGGTTCACTCACCACCGTAGCGGGGGTCTGCCGTCTGCCTCCGGAATCAGTTCCTTCTGCTGGCAGAGTACCTTCCCTCTGGTGGGGCTTCCCCTCTTTCCTCCAGGCCGTGTCGTCCTCTTCACCACACTGCCCTCCGGCAGTGCCCAAGTCCGTCTGTGAGCCCCCCTTCCGGAGGTTGTTGTTTCTCCACCGGACCGTTATGCAGGCCCTGCAGTTTGTTTGGCCAGAGCTCCCCTAGCCCTGCCTTCCCTCCCCAGCCCTGCCCTGCCCTGCCCTGCCCTAGCTCCAGGGAGCCTCCTGCTTCCCCAGCAGCCAGGCCCTCACTGACCTTCCTCCTGGGAGCTGCTGCCCAGGTTCTTATATAGCCCCCAGCTGGGCCCTCATCCCCTAACGCAGCCCCAGATGGGGCTAAACTCCCCAGCCCTGCTTCAGGCTGGGGTTTGCCCTTAAAGGGCCAGTGCAGGGCGAACGCCCTGTCACAC